AATTCAAAATTTGCGAAGAAAGCAATGAGAAAAGAAAAATAATGCAAGCGCGCTCGGCGGCTAACAGCGTTCCAATTTGGGACAGTTCGACAGTGCACAGTTCGAATTAGAACAGTTCGATTCTGTCCTTGTTCTGTTTTGATACTTGTTCGAGAAAGACACTGTTCTGATTTGAATCAATTCGACTTTAGGTCTGTTCGATTTTGAAAACGTTCGAATTCGTCGTACCCCCCGCTGTGGCACCCAAAACAGTAATTGTTCGTTTTGAGTGTACCTTTAAACAAGTTACGGTACAAAAACTCCGCAAATATTTTTTCCCGAAAATATTTAACGAATTTCCTTGCTTTTGATTATTTAATCTAAATAGTCACAAAATGATCTCATATAATAAATGTCATATTTGAATAGCAATAAAAGTAATCCTCATCATAAGAGAAGAAACATCAAAACTTTGTGTGAATGAATCGGAATCCTTGTGCATTATTACATCAACCAGTAACTTGTCAGTTGCAATAGAGACGAAGAGAGTGTGTGATATCGAGAATAACGAGAGAAAAGAAGAAATTGGAGAGGAGCTAAATATTCGTTGTAAAATAAAATGTTGCAGTCGTAGCGAAGTAGAGCTGGGGTAACATTCAGTAAAATTTCACAAAAAGTTCTAAATATGAAGTTTTATTATGGATAACACTGAACCACAACTGTTTTCGAATCTGATAAATAATTAAATAGCTTGCGAAGCGCTAACAGGAACATACAAATAACTGCTGTACCACACACAAATGTTGTTCCAATTATGCACATTCTGGAAAGATCTACTGTTTCAAAGTTCTAACTTTCATTATATTTACTTGAGAATTATCTCTAATTTCTGTTGAGTCCTCCCATCTGAAAGTAGATCATGCCTGTATCGATCCCACCAATCAAAACTTTGATTTGAATCTGTGTATCCTGAAAACTTGAAACTTGTATTATTTAAACGAAATATAGGTACCTTTTTCTATAGTCATTGCAATAGAATACAGTAATCCAATAGTAGATGAATGGCGGACACAGTAATGGAAAAGGCTCATGCGAGGCCGTTAAAAATAACAGAAATCTGCCAGCAGCACTTCCTCTGGATCAACAGCAATCAAATCCGGACACTGCCCGCCGACGAATCATATGCGCGTGTCAAAAAGGAGCAAAGAAAGAGGAGATCGAATTGAATTAAGAAACTATTCGAAATGTTCGATTCGATACGAACAAACACAGAATGAGATCGGAAAGAGAGGATAGACCAATACAAACAATAGTTAACACCGGTGGATTGGTTACATTCACAAAGAACAAGTTGTGAACACGAGTGACAAGTTGATTGTTGATTACTTTCAAGTGGAGCTATAGTGATCTTTCGATTCTCTCTGGTGTTGGCATGTTTTATTAGACAAATACTTATCTATGTGTGAGCATATATAACATATATTTACCCTCTTATAATACAAGTTTGCAAGTTATCACATTAAAACATTTCAAAGGAAGGAATAACCACAATTTGAATAAATTAATAAATTGCCCAGTTTCGTAAATTCACTCATGACTTCAAGCTTCGCATCTGCGAGACAACTCCCGATAAAAGGTCTCGATGACGGGAGCGGATTTCAGTTTGCCGACGTGCAAGGGCGACTTTGAAGTGGATCATGAGAGGTGGGAAGTCGATTCGGCATGGTGGAACTTTTGGTGCATAAGTAGAGTTGCTGAAAGAATACTTGTTTTCTTAGTGAGTCTACTTCAAGACCTACTCAATCGACACCAATGCTGGAACTGCCTGAAGCCGTTTGTGGAGAGTTACGAATGCTTCCGACTGTGGCAAGAGCATTAGTAGTGCTGAGAGAACAGTGCATAGAGGTGACCGATGAACTGATGAAAGTAGGTCCATTCGCACATCTGTGAGTAATAATTGAGTGAATTTTGCAGTTTTTTAAATGTTCATTTACATGCAAGAACGGGACTTTCTATTAGATTAACCAGTTTGTCGATTTCTAATAAAACATCTACAGTAATGTCGACCTGAGAAAGCAGGAGTGCCACATCCGCAGCTTGTTGATAATGTTGCGATAGGAGACAAAGTCCTAGAAGAGCAATTGGACGATTCGACCAGACACGGAATATGCACTCGAATAGGGAGCGAGATGATTCATTGGATAGTGACCGGAGTTCGTCTCGGAGAATGAAGAGTTCGGTAGCGGTTAGCAAAACGCCGTGAAGAGTCGAGACCATTTCTTGGGTGAAATTATGTTTTGACTCTCTCTCCAACAGGACACAAATCACTCTGTAAATTTGAGCGGGTTCCAGGAGTAGGCAAAGCTGTCTGATGATAAGAACTCCTCTTTCTCGTAGCAACGATGGTTCTGTTCGGAACATTTCTAGGAGACTCAATGCAAATTTAATAAGGAATGGAGAAATGTCCGAAACTTGTTTCAGAGCTTCTTCTTCTAATCCAAAAGTTGACACATCCACTTGGTCAGGTGCAGACTCTGATTGACAAATATTGGAAATGAGGAAAAGGTCCAGAAGAAGAACTTCATCAGAAGTATCCGATAGAGTGTTCAAAAGCACTGGAAAGATTTGATGCATATGAATGAAGAGCTGTCCTGGCATTGAGCTATGCAAATGACGGATCCAGTTGAGAACAGTAACCCGAGTCTCCACGACATCGTATTTGATATACTTCAATAGAACCTCTGCAAACATACATTTCGATTACACTATTTTTTATGTTAGATATATTTACCAATAGTTCTATCGAGATTTGCCTGTTCCAATTTGTTTTCTCCCACAAGAGCCATCAGAAGTCGGTTCACAGCATCGCCTCTCAGTTCGTGTTCTACAATGGAGGGTAGAATCCCGACAAGAAAAGTGGACAGCATTTCTAACAATTCTGCCTTATACAACTTCACGAACTCTTCTAGCCAGATAAGAGATAGTTTTCTGGCGAGGAAGGGTTCATTCTCATGTGTGTGCACAACCAGGACATTGACCATTTGAATTTTGTCTTCATGAGTCAGAGATTCCGGCTTGAACTTTATTGCAGATAAAAAGTTGCCAAGGACAGTTTCACAGAGATCTCTAACAGCTGGGGCTTGATCGGCAAGCATTTTGAATAGACCATCAGAGATTTCAGAGATGTAATTGCAAACTGAGAAGAATGGAGTCGAGTTAATGGTGTTCAACCACTCCAGTATGAATCTTCGGTTTGATGATGTTTGAGTGTAGATTCTATCCCGGATGAGAGCCATTAGAATTGCTACATCAAAGTCTTCTTTAGAAAGAACGATTTCCGTTATCAGACGATTTAGAAGTTCAGCACCGCCTCGCACATTTTGATCAGAATCTGCTGTTACTCTCCACAGAACATCGAAGATATCTCCAAAGTGATCCAGTACTGCGGTTTTGCAGATCTTAGCGATGTTGTAAAGTGATTCACAGGCATAGTATCTGATTTGAAGATCTGCGTCCAAAAAGCAGGGTACAATAGGTTCAACTAGCTTCGCAGTATATGGAGGAGCATTTTTGTTTCCCAAGGCAATCGAAGAAGCCGCCATTCCAATTAATCCTCCCTTTCTCTGATTCGAGTTTCCCGAATTGATTAGTTCTGCGAGTACTGCGAGACATCGGTCGAGCTGAGACAATTGGTTGTTGTTGAACAAATCTCGTACTAGCCTGAAACTCTGGATTCAGTAGGAAATCACAACGCAGTCTTACTTTTCAACGTCTAGAGCTGCTGCTTTTCTTCTTTCATACGATTTATCAGTGATAGACCGGATGATCCCAGCTGAAATCGGCCCATAGGACCCGTCTGACATTCTGAAAGATAAGAAGACAATATATTCATTTTTGAAAACAGTTTTTGACACGCTTTTGATTGGAAAAATGCCAAAATTATAAATATGCAAACGCGCTCCCTTGCTAGGCGTTAGAGATGAGAGACGGCAGAGAAGTGAGAGTAAGATCGAAATTCAAGCTCTGAAAATCATCGTTTCAACTTTTGGAATTGTTAAATAGCTGAGAAATTTTTAAACTTCAAAAATTGCTGAACCCACTAATGAGCGATCTAAAATTGATAACCTTGCGTATGCATTCATAAAAAATCTTAAAAACCAACAGGATAAGAAGCGAGTAGCAGATAAAAAAGAAAAGGTGACTTTCTCGAAATTTCGTAACATAATTTGAAAAATATTACTATTTCTTCAGAACAATCAGGGAAGAATTCTATTATGTGGTGCTCATGAAGTTCTGAAGTTCGTTCAGTCCGGAAAAATAAAGGTAATTTTCTACGCGAAAAATCTCGATGAGAACAATAACAGAGGTATAGAAATTTATCCAGAGAATAATGCATTCAATAAGAAATTGCAGCTGCTTCAAACTTCCACTCTCTTCAAAAGCTCTGTCCAATTGAGAATGTTCCGATGATTCAGGTTCTGACAAGAAAAGAAATGTCTCGAGTGGTGAACAAGTTTCCATACGTTGGAGTTATAGGAGTTTTCAATTTTCATGGGTTTGATGTAAGGAATTTATCTATTGACAGTGGAAATAGCTATATTCTTACAGGACGAAGCAAAAGAAATCATCCAAGAATGGAGGACAAGCAGCTCCTTCAAGCAATTCCACACAGATCAATCGTCTCTCTTACCTTGAAAATTGAAGATCTGAATAATATAAATTTTTCATTTAACTTCTTGATGTGATCATGTTTTTTCTTCTCGCAGGTTTGATTCCTGACTTTTTTCTTATTGTTCGATCCGTAAATTTTTCGCAAGGAATACTAAATATCAGATCGCTGTAATTGGATGTTCCGTAGTGTATCTAGAAGCGCCATTTCCACTAGCCGTTGCGTCTTTTTATCAGGTTTCGTCATTTTCCAATATTCACCTGTCCCACCACCTCCTTATTACTCTCTCAGTTAATCTGTGGGATTTTTTTCAAACACGATACGATTCACCCGAAGCCAGGGGTGTTCAAAAGGGTATTTTCGGAATGCTTCACTGTCAAAAACCACTAGTTTCAAAATTTCGAAATATTATATTTTCAGAATGTCGGACTTTTTTTCGGACATTCCGCTCGAAACCCGCAAGCAAACTTTTCGCGTGCGCTTGATATACCGTAGTCTCTAATTCCGAAAAATGGTCGGAATTTTCCGAATTCCGTTCCGAAAATCTAACGATGTGTTCATTTAATATTATCAACTTTTTCACACAGGTGGTTTTGTCCCGTTCAAAAAGAAATCCGTAAACCACCTGCATTCCGAACCAAAGAATAGTCTGATTAAATAGCTCATATTTGATTCACGATTTATTATTCTCCTTTCATTTCACCATCTTTCAATGTTCACTAGTGTCCTCTAACCGCATGTAACAACACTGTTTTTCGTGTCATCCCTCTTTCAAATTTTCCAATGAACCTAATTTGTCTCTCCCGTGACTCTTATTCTCTCGTTTCCCTTTTCCAGGACTCTTCACCAGAGTGCTCATATCTTCTGCTGTCTCCTCACAGAAGACTGTACAACCCTTCTCGTCAAGCTCTACTTCTTCCTCTTCCCCGTTTCTAGCTTCAATAATAGGTTTGTCTGTGTGAGATTGTGTTGTTCCACTAATATAATGGGAATGCGTTTTGTGTGATAGTTTTTTTTGCTATATTCAACATGAATGAATCTCTCTTTCTGGACGATGTCATAATCAAAAATTCATGGAAGATACATTTTCTTCTTTCAGGGTCATCACTCTCCTCCCGCCTTCTCTGTTCACTTGGAGGCCCGCCATCCGACGAAGAAGATTCATCAGGAATGTCCAGAATTGCGAACGGTGAGCCAGCTGTCGTGCGAGCCCGTGGCCAACACAAAGGAACCATCATCTTCCTTCATGGACTCGGAGACCAAGGAACAGGGTGGGCTGATGCTTTCAGCACCGAAGCCCGACATGACAACATCAAAGCAATCTGCCCACACAGGTTTTGTAAATAAGTCTTGTATGTTTATAATGTAATTGTTTTTCAGTGCTGAACGTTCTGTGACTCTCAACATGGGAATGCGTATGCCTGCTTGGTATGATCTGTTCGGTCTCGATGCTACTGCACGTGAAGATGCTGATGGAATCCAGGCAGCTGCTCAATACGTTCACCATTTGATTGACGAGGAAATCAATGCCGGTATCCCCGCTGATCATATCGCCGTTGGCGGATTCTCAATGGGCGGTGCTCTTGCCATCTATGCCGGTCTGACATATCCAAAGAAACTAGGTGCCATCGTTGGGCTTAGTTCATTTTTCTTGCAAAGACAGAAGTTCCCAGGGGTGAGTAGAGCTATCATCAAATACTTTCTAATTATGTCATATTTCAGAGCTACACTGCGAACAACGCCACACCCATTTTCCTTGGACATGGATCTCAGGATTTCTTGGTTCCACTTCAAATCGGTCAGATGTCTGAGGGACTCATCAAGCAGTTCAATCCAAATGTTGAGATGCATGTCTACAGAGGGATGCAACATTCCAGCTGTTCAGAGGTTAATTAGGTCATAATACAGGTTAAATGTTTATTATTTTTAGGAAATGCGTGATCTGAAGACATTCCTCAGCAACCACATCGCCAAGTAAAAGCGTCAAGTAAATAGAATCTCGATAAATAAAAACCACTTTATTCACTCTCAAGTTGTTCAATCAGTATACGCGAGAGTTCTGTGTCGCTTCGATTCGATTTGTGTAATCCTTTTCCGGCATCCTCAGTTCCAGCTCATACAGCGTGTCGTCCGTCTCATTTCGATGAGCCATCATGTAGGCGCGCCTGTAATTTTTTGTAGTTTTATGTTTTGAATGAGACTATATTTATTATAAATTATTTGCAACCTCTCTCTTTCTCTCACCTTTCGTTTCTCTGTTGAACCGATCGTCTGATATACTCCATATCTTCCGGAGTCAGTTGAGGACGATAGTTTGGTCCTGAAAAAAGGAATCCAATTTTTACTTAAATACTAAACCTTTTTTCAAACCAATAACTGCTGATTTTTGTTGATCCTTCTTTTTCTTTTTCTCCTCACTCTGTTCAACTCTTTTTGTCGTTTTCTTCTTTTCCGGAGATTTTTGTTTTTCCCCAACTGTTGGCATCGGATAATAAGTCGAAGAAACAAACTGTTTCTGTTGAACAGTTGGGGGAAGCGCTGTGTCGGGAGCTGTCTCCATCTTATCAGCAGGAGCCTCAGAATATTGTCTGGAACGTTTTTTTAAATTTGAAATTGTAAAATGATAAAATTCATACTGTTTGTTTTGAGTAGGAATCGTGATGTTCTGATCCGCTTTAACAGTAGGAGTGGATTGTGTTTTAGTATCTAAAATAATGACTGATAGGCACATTGAACTACCCACGAACCTTGCTTTTTGGCACTTTTATCCTGGGCTACAGTGTTCTGATGCGTCGATTCTCTCGTCTCATTTAGCAAGTTCTTCGTGTAATGGTTCATTTGCGGCTCTTCTGGCTCGACGCTCGTTGATTGGGTAGTTGGATGCCTGCAAAATTTGAAACAAAAAATTAATGAGGTCAGAAGCCATACGTCTCCTCGAAATGGGCTACGCGACTGTGATGAAGTGATCGTTCCAACGGATGTTCATTCTTCGCAACACCAGATTTAGACTTTGAGTTTTTGCTATGAGTACATCCCATTATGAGAGAAGCGCCACTTTTGAGTAGTATTCAGAAATGAAGAAGTTTGCGAGTTGATATGGTTTATAATATAATGTTTCTAGGATTTTGAAATTGAAATGAATTTTAAAGTTCCTAGTTCACGAACTTCTCACCTCTTCTCCACTCTCCCGTGAATATTATGCTGGTACGAAAAAATGCGTGGTCGAAGGCCTTACAACGGCAACTACCGTAACCTAAAAAATATTTCTAGGTTACGGTAAGTAATTGTCGTTTTGGGATCTCCGGCCACCGGAATTTCTCTTCCACAGCTCTGATTTTTTTTATTCAAGTACAATACAAAATAAAATTTCCAGAGTAAAAATGTCAAGTTCCAAGAAAAAACCGATGCTGGTGACCTGCCCACAATGTGATGCGATTTTCCTCACCAAAGATTCCAACAGACATCAAGATTTTTGTGGAAAACCTATAGCTGAATCGGAAATATCATGTGCTCAAAACGGCGTTCTTCGTGGATTCAATGTGGCCATCGACAAAGCAGAAAGTTATCTTCCTCCAGATGCTATTGGATGGGAAAAGGTATTTTGAATATTAAAATGAGGTTATTTTATTAAAATTTTACAGGAACACTCGGTATTGATGTGCCAACAGACAATGGAAAGTCTCGGACTTCTAGCACGTCAGCCAGTTCGAATTTTTAATGCCGACGAATTCTTTGTTGGAATCGTCTGGCCGTGTAAAGAAGTTGCACTTCTCAAAATATCTGTCATCTCTGTGAGAATTCCACGGGAGAAAGTGGTCACTTTGAAGAGTTGTAGAAAAGTCGAAACTGTGAATCGCCTTGGAGTGACTCTCCAAACTTCACTTACACCAACGCCAGCTCTGACCGGATTTATTGGAGCCTATCTAAATCATTCTTACTTGCAATTTGGACTTTGTGTATCTTTGAAGTATCTCGGACAACAAATCAAAGTGACTCCAGAAGAGCCCATTGATAAGAAAATGGAAAGAATGGGAATCGAAAATCAGCAATCTGATACAGTAATCTCCACATCTGTCAATTGTAAAGTTCAAATTCTCAACTCGGAATCTACTAGCTCCACTGATCAACCCAAAAATGTTGTCATCGATTTGTCAAACGTCGGTGGTTCATTTGTGGCAAAACAAGTACTGGAAGATTATGTTATTGGACCGATCAGACGTAAGGAATTACCATGTTCAGTTCTGATTTGGGGACTACCTGGAAGTGGAAAAACCCTTTTACTCAAGGAATTGGAAGCTGTTCTGTCTGGACTTGTGACCTATATTGGAAGTTGCGATGAACTTGTGGAATCAAATGGATTATTCAATGGAAACGTCGTGATTGTAGATGTTAATGAAGTAGAAAAAGATAACTCGAAAGTTAATCGTGCATTGAGTGTATTGCTGTCAGAAGAGAAGGTAATGCCAATGCTTATTCGGAGTTTTTCAAATTTTGAAGTAGAAGTCCCACTTTCGCAACACAAAATTTGAAAAATTATGAAAAAATTGATTTTCGGACTACAGTATCTCAAAGACGCATGTGAAAAGTTTGCTTGTGGGTATCGAGCGGAATTATTTTGATATTTTTTGCGTTTCAGAAATCTCTTTGTTATTTTTTCACCAAGTTTTCACAATTTTGTAATGGATAAATTGGGGATTATTTACTACTTTAATATTTGAATGTTGAAAAATTCCCAAAATTTGAAACTCGGATTTTTCGACAACCGAAAAATTCCGAAAAGGCCATCCCGAACTTTCCTGCTCCCGAAAACTCTAAAATTAAAACTTTTTTCAGATCTGTGTCATCTTATCTGTTCGATCATCAGAAAATCTTGACCTCGGTTTCCGTGTACGGTTCCCTGTCGAAGCCGAAATTACAGTCCCAACACAAGGTGAACGTCTTCAAATTTTGTCAAAAATTTCTCCACAATTCGGTTTTCCTTCCGAAAACTATCTCGATGTTGCTCGTCATACCCATGGTTTCACTGGTGGAGATTTGTGCTCACTTCTAAAAGCATCAATGTTTGCGCGCGGTACGACACCACTCGAAAAAGTAAACGATGCCAGAAAGAGAATCCGACCGACTGGAATCAGACAGTTCATTCTAGAAGTTCCAAATGTTTCGTGGAATGATATTGGTGGAAATGAAGAATTGAAACTGGAGATTCAGCAAGCGGTAATTTGGCCTCAGAAACATCCTGAAGCATTTGAGAGATTCGGAATCGATCCACCGGCTGGCATCTTGCTTTACGGTCCACCAGGTTGCAGTAAAACTCTCATCGCTCGTGCGTTGGCAAATGAGGCAAAAATGAATTTTCTGGCTGTAAAAGGTCCTGAGCTATTCAGTAAATGGGTTGGAGATTCTGAAAAAGCCATTCGAGATTTATTCACAAGAGCGAGACAAGTTGCTCCAACGATTGTATTCTTCGACGAAATTGATGCTGTTGGATCGTCGCGAGGATCAGAAAAAAGTTCAGGAGTGTCGGATCGAGTTTTGGCTCAATTGCTCACTGAGTTGGATGGATTGGAGAAGTCAAGTCGAGTTGTTTTATTGGCCGCTACTAATCGACCAGATCAGTTGGACAGTGCTCTCTTAAGACCTGGTCGTTTGGATCGTGCGATTTACGTCGGTTTGCCATGCGAAGAAACCAGAAGAGCAATTCTAAAAATGCGAACCCGGAAAATGGCTATCGATGACGTCACAGCTACAATTCAGAAGCTAGTTGAGAAAACTTCAGGATATTCTGGAGCAGAGTTAGTGGCAGTTTGTCGAACTGCTGCGATGTTCGCAATGAGAGAAAATATCGAAGCCAACATTGTCGAATGGAAACATTTTGAAGACGGCGAGTTCCTCGAATCCGAGCTTAATTTAATGAGCTACATTTTCAGCTCTTACCGCGGTTGTTTCTAGAACGGAGGCCTACCTTCTGGAGATTTACGACGACTTCAAAGCAGGTCGTACATCTAATGCATGATTTCAAATCCTATTTTTTCTTGTTATTGTTGATTTACTTGTTGCAAAGTTTCTATAAATTCATGTTTTGTTATTCCAATGATGTCATTCCGGAGTAGCTTTAAATTATGGATGTATTGAGAAATAAGACAGCTTTTTTGAATTCGTTGGTTGAGAAAATATTACAGGTGAGGTTTTCGGAAAATAAACTAGCAGACGATGAGCAGGAAATTTTGTAGCTGTTCAGTGGTGTTTTGGGGCCAGTATAGAAATTATGCTTAAACAAAAAGAGAGAAAACAAGAAAATAGAAAAAAAAATGCATGTTCATGAGACTTTTGTGTATGGAACAAGCTATTGAAAGGTGAATGAAACTTTTGACTTCAAATATGGCCTCACACTGCAGCTTCAAATGATTTCGAATTTCCCGAAGCTGTCAGTACATTTTTTTGATTTAATCAAGAGTAACACAAAAGAGAAGATATGTGATACACGTACAGAACTCGCGCTATTGTAGTGGTGAGAAGTAAGATTTGACGAGTGCGGAAATATACAAAACATGCGAAAGCTGAAAGTGGAAAGCAGAAGATCATTAGCCGGGGGTAGAGCGAGAATGAACTGGGATGATGACGAATTAGAAAGTTTAGACTCTAAAATTTACAGAAATAGATTAGAGGAAGAGCAAATACTCGATACAACTCAATTAATACTACGCTGATGTGCCATTCGACACTGTAGAGTTTGCATTGTTAGTTGTCATTGCAACAGTTATGGGAGCTGTAACACGGACAGCGGAAGCTTCGAGATCGATAAAACTCCGAAGACGTTCAAGATATGCGGCATGTAACTCCACGTCATTGTGACCAGCTCCTGAAATGCGAGAGTATAATTTTCGTATTTTTCTGATTCGTAACCGCTATATCTTTTGGAAAGCTACAAAAAAATTTAAAAACAACGGATATACCTGGTACCCAGAGTGGCTCGACAGACGCAGGACACCGTTCATAGATTGAAACTCCGTGTGAGAAATCAATGACTTCGTCATCTGTTCCATGAATCACAAGTGTTGGACATTTGACCCGTGGTACTTTCTCAATGGAAGGGAAAGCGTCACAGCACCATGTTGTAGTTGTTCCAGGGAAGGCGACACGCATTCCAGACATCAACGGAGAATGTAAAATCAAAGCAGCCAAGTCTTCACGACTCGCCAAATCAACACTTGGAACAGTTCCAATCGACTGACCGTATAGAATGATTTTCTCTTTAGGTACTCCTGAAGGATTCTCCGTTAATTTGGACTTTTAAGAATGAATTAAACCCACCAAACTCTGTTTTTAACACCTCAAATGCAGCAGCAATATCTGCATAGAGGTTTTTCTCCGATGCCTTCCCGGTCGAGCAACCATACCCTGAGTAGTCGTAACTGAACACATTGCAATGCAAATGGAAGCCAAGTCCGTATAAAAAGGAGGACATCTGCCCCAAGTCCACTGCGTTTCCGTGGGAAAAGAGCAATGTGAAGTGGGCGTCTTGAACAGGCCGAATCATTATGCATGCGACGCGATTACGTCGCCGAGTCCTTGCCACTCGCATCTCAATGCAAGTATTGAGGAATGCGTTATCATGAGGCCATGCGGCACGTCCTTCAATCAGAACTAACTTATTGTCTTCAGAAATACTATAACTGGCTTCAGGAGGCATAAATGCCAATTTCGAGACAATCGATGATGGGAATGGCGGGCAGCAGAACAAACAGCATAAGTCTCTAGAATTTATAGGAGTTGTATTGTAAAAGAAGATACAGAAACTCACTTGAAAGATACACTATTTGGTCCGGCACGTGGTGGTGGTGATCCAGGCGTACTTGACATCGATGAACCCGACGGTGCTCCCGACGACATCTGATAGGCGCGAAGGGCCAATCTTAAATTAAATGACATGGGAAAGAAAACCAAAAAAAAAGAGATGGGATGAGAAGAAATGCGGACGAGGGGAGGAGAAGGGGAATTTCAGAAAGGAAAACATGAGGTGTACGGGAGAGTGGAGAGAAGCCGCGGTGCGGTAACTAGGAGATGGGAACTCGGGGGACTGCGGAGATTGCTGAGAAATTTTGTTCCGATTTCCGATAAATATTGTTTTTCTGTCTCGGAGGAGAAAATCGAACACTACTCCATAATTAATAAAACCACTGAAAGAGAAAATTCCTTTTTCGTAATCAACTCATATAAAAGAAATGAAGACTAGAGAGCCTCACGATGTTTAATTTCGTAGATGTACACAGAAAACACATAGAATGTGTCCTTCGTCTTCTTCATTCTGCTCTCATGGAATGTAATGGTAGTGCAGGACGCTGGGGGAAATTGGATGCTGCAATGCATCCCATCACTCATTCTCCTATCTCTAATTTTTGAATTTATTCTGCTTACACTGGCCGTGTCTCTTTCTGGCGATGGACAAAAAAAATGGGAAGACGAACGAAACAAAATGAGGAGAAATGAATCGGGAGCCGCCGGGCGGAGAAGCGCATAGATATGGTGAATCAGCAAGGGGAATGTTTTGTTTTGGGGGTGACGAAAACAGAAGAGACGCTGTGGCAACCTTTCTATTTGACATAAATATTTGTTATATCATTGTCCTGACACAAGAAAGGAGGTCGGATAGTGCGCGAGTTCAAAGGAATCCAGTCAAACCTCAACTGAAATATCAACAAACGAAGCCAATTACGTGAGAGAAACGTTGGTTCGCGATGTCCAATCATGCTAATCCAAGCCGAGGAAGTAAGTCTTTGAGGAGTCGTTAGAATCCTCTTTATAGGAGCATCACAAAATGAATCTACTTTTTGTTTGTAATGAAGACTGCTAGATTCTTTTCGAAGTCGGAATCCCGAGGGAGCTCGCAGAAAAAGTGCGGATATCCTTGCCTAGATTGGCAAGAAGCTGGACCACTTGATGAGTTTCAATGATGAATTGGTTGAATAAACGAAAAGCAAATGACGATCAAAGATAATATAAAATTCAGCTAGGAAAATTTGAATCTTTTTCTATGCAGTTAAAGAAACAATAGCGACACAGCCATGCTTTATGTTGAAAAAACATTTCCACCTCTGCCTTGTATTCTTGTTTTATAATTCTGGTTATATTTTTTTCCTAGCTTTCTTAAAACGAGTTTAGAACAGAAATAAGTTCGAAACTGAACTCAATCTGGAGGTGAAAATAACCAAATTTTGGAACGGATAGCATCTTAATAGGTGTTCACGTTTTTCTTCAGCTTGAAAAGAAGAAAGATATCAAAGAATTTGAATCAATGAAGAGTTCGGAATGAGAATGTGATGCTATGCGCGGTCGTGTAAAAACGAGAGAGGGTCAAAGGATCCGCGAGGACGCGGAGAGCCCAGACGACACCAGCGACCCGAGAGCAGCAATTCGTTGGCGATATGCCTGGCTGAGGCAACGAGTCTCAGCCAGCCAATCTCGCAACACTAAGAACTCCACCCTTCTTCTATTCTTCTGCGTGCAGAAACTTTTTCTTCGTTTTCTCTCTCCTATCCACACAAAAGGTCCGCATGGATTTTCGCTTTCCGTCGGTGCATCACGTTTCTATTCAGCTTTCAATAAGAATGACATAATGAAGCTGATTATTAGATTCAAACACGCAATCATCCCACTATTTCGCAAACTAGAACTTGAGGAAAAAAATAATCTAACTCGAATTTATAGAAAAGAAGAATTACATTTTTGGTATAGCGACATGTTCAATTTCTTAAACTGTTTATATTGAAAATGATTGGTTGATGAAATTAAAACATTTACGTATAAGTTTTCTTAAAATTTTAAATTTCTTGGGAAAAAAAGTTTAGCCGGTTTTGATAATCCGGTCCAGATAAAATTTTTTGGTATCCCAATTTTTTCGAATTGAGAAAAATTTAGAAACAGAACTGTCCTAAAACGGAAGAAGCAAGAGAGCGCTTCTGTTCGTTGTTCCACGAAAAACCTTTTCATCCGAAATGGAACATAGCAAGCATAATCTTCTCATCGTCAAAAAATCGTTTTCTTGACTTCTTAATTTAAACGGTACTTTCAAAATACTACTGAGGCAGTTAGAATTTACACATTTATGTGAAAAAGAAACAGAAAAATATTTAAGAACATCGTTCGCTATCCCCGTAAATCGCCCCCAGAGACAAGGCAAATCGCTGCGGGACCCAAAGCCCATTAACTCTCTGTGCACCTTTAATTTCCTCACATATTTCCATGAAAATGTTCTTTTTATGCTTTCGTGACACAGAAAATGAATGTTTTTTCGAAAGAGAACACATATTTCTCAATTTCATGAATGACCTCATAACAGTTTCGCAATATTTCGAGTTTTGCGATGTTTTTGCTTTTCTATTCGCGAGTTAATCGAATAATTTTAGATAAGGCGCACAATGCTTATTAATTTAACCTTATTTTTCTGCTAAATATATCCGTTAAAATATTGAACTTAACCTCTAATTTTTTGTAAACATACATTATTGCAGAAACAAGTTCCCAATTGCGAAATAATCAATCATGACTGACGATCTAGTAATTTCAATAATTGTAAAAATTAAATATTTAATTCACTGTATTTATAGGGACTAGATCTGGGAAAGAAGAAGAAGACAAAAAAGGTTATCAAGCTCGATGAAGAAGAAAACGTAGGACCAGAGCAGAGCGTTGATGCGGTCGGAGATGGAGTTGGTTCGTAGAACTCACTCAATAGCTTTAATTCTCTAATTTTTTTGCAGAGGAACTCAACCTTGGAACTAAAAAGAAGAGAAGAGCGCCAAAAGCAACCGAAGAAGTTGTCGAGGATAAGGTCCAAACTCTCGGTAATTTTTTTCCGAATTCAGTTATCTGATTTTATACGAGATTTCAGATATTGGAATCGGTGCTCAAAACTTGATCGACGCGAAAGGACTCTGGCCAGATTACACATATGAAGAAGCTCTCACGCTTGTGTTCCAAGTGATGAAAGACAAAAATCCAGATTTCGCCGGTGACAAGAAGAAGTTTGCCATCAAACTTCCAGAAGTCGGAAGAGCTGGTTCGAAGAAGACTGCTTTCTCGAACTTCTTGGAAATCTGCCGCCTAATGAAAAGACAAGACAAACACGTTCTGCAATTCTTGCTGGCTGAGTTAGGAACTACTGGATCAATTGACGGAAGCAACTGTCTGATTGTCAAGGGAAGATGGCAACCGAAGCATTTTGAGAGCGTCCTTCGAAAATACATTAGTAAGTAGTTCTTTTTTTTATGTTCGATTCTATTTTACAATTTTCAGAGGAATATGTCATGTGTCACACCTGCAAATCTCCAGACACTCAGCTCACCAAGGATACTCGTCTATTCTTCTTGCAATGCAACAATTGTGGTTCCAGATGCTCTGTAACAGCAATCAAGAGTGGTTTCAAGGCTGTCGTCGGGAAGCGTGCAGCTATTCGTCGTGCCACTGAAGCCACCGCCGGAAAATAAAATCTTCTGTCATCAGTCGGCATATCCAGTTTTCTATGGGGTCGTCTTTTACATTATTCTGTTTTTCTTGCTGTTTTTCATCATTGTTCGTATTCATTTCTCCACCTTTTCCTTCTTTAGTTTCTTTTCTTGCTCCCCTTCCCTAAATCTTCAAACTCGAGAAAAACGGTTCTTTTGGTAGTCGGCACATCCGGCTTTCTATTGGTTGGTACCTTTCGCATCATTCCGTTTTTCTTGATCATTTTCATTATTCTTGGTATTTATCTTTTTCCCTTCCCGTTGTTTAGTTTATTCTCTCGTTTCCCTCCCCCAAATCTTCTGATGCTTTTTTCTATACTCGTTATCTAATAAATTCGGCATAGTATGGAAGTATCGAGGTTAAAAAAAGCTGTTTGACATCAAAGAATATTTTTTTTGGTTGTCGACTATTTACTTTTTGGAACCCTGTGCAAATGAGACACTATTAAAAAATCTGAAACAATTTTTTTTCAGATAAACTAGCTTTTCACATCATGTCAAGTGTGATGCGAGCCATGTTACGGTTATCTAAAGCGCTGGATTCTAAACTTATCGGAGAAGTTGCATTAGCTCTCCAAGACCTCGACGATAGCGGGAAATGTTCAGATGCCTTTGAATACATTCTCTATGAAATCATTTCATGGGATCTCACACAATTGCCTGCAGTTTCTGAAGGAGTTATTCGCCGTCTAATGGATCTGGTTAATAATCGGGATTCTTTAGAAAATATTTCCCAAAAAATCTTGAAAGCACAATCTGCAGTTGCAGTTCAGTTAGCGGTGACGAAGATGATCGAGTAATCATTATTTAAAAATTTCCCGAATAACTATTGTTTTGTTCCAGAGAAAATTGGTTACTCAGCCACGAAGCTTGCAACGATGTCTGGAGAAAAATCAAAGCAAATCAGCCTACTGAAGAGAAGTTGGACGAAAATATGATTGACGAATATGTTGCTCGGGTCACTGCAAACTGTAAAATTTTGAGATTGTCTGGAACTCCACGCCGATTTTTGTCCAGTATGCTTCTGGAGTGTTTCAAAGCTTCCAGTCAATTTCGGAAGACCGTGTCCACTGATTTTCTGAACGAGCTTGCGATTCTTTCATCTTTCCACCCTGTGATTAGTAGGTTTTGAAATCCATTTCAAACAAAGAAAAAGTATTTCAGTTGCTGGAAGTATGAAAAAAGGTCCCAATATCTTCTTGCTACCACAAGTTTTCACGGAATATCACCGATTTTGTCTAGAGACTCAGGAATTCATAAGTTTCTATCGTCACCATTCAGTCTATCATAGAGCAAACTCATGTGGTATGCTTTCGGTCTTCCGGAGCATTTGTGATCGGATGAACCGAATTGAGCCGTTGCAAGGAGAAGACATTGAAAATGTTGTGGATTTGTGGCTGGCCGCTATACCTATTTTCGACGGACATGGAATATCGATGAATGATATAACAGACTCAGCAAAACTAATCGAAGCAAGCACTTCGAAATTCGATATCAAAAGGCGCCCTTTATTCCTTAAACGGTTTTTGAGAAAGCTTTCTGAAAAGGTATCCACAATGAGGGCTCCTGAAATATTAGTTTCTTTTCTTTCAGAAAGATGCGAGCGTTGGCATGGAACCTCAAATCGTAGCCACAATCATTACCACATTTCAACGGAATGCGTTCAATCATAAATCTTCTGAATTCTACGAAGAGCTCGGAGAGTTTTGGACACTATGTCTGAAGATGAAATATGATGATATCTACTACGCAACCGTCTTCTACTCTGCTGTCTTCACATTAGCACAAGCTCAAGCTGTTTTTCGAGTAAAGAAGGAACTATGTAGAGCCGTTTACGAGAAGATTCTGCAACCCATGCATCAGCAAATTGTAGATTTTGTCAAGCTGAAAAATTTAGAGACTAATAAAGCTTCAACTGATGAAGAGAGAATTATGCTGGAGCAGAAGAATCTTGGAGCAAGCTACTTTTCGATACTGACATGCACTTACAAAAATGCCGAGGACCGAATTTTGGAATTCATTAATCAATGAAAATCTATTGCACCATATCAATTTTTTATCGGATCTCCTTCTATATTCGGTTAATAAATTAAAGCTACTTTTTTACAAATTTCTTCTATCGTTATTTTTAGAGTTGAATTCTCGACAAGCTTATCTTATTTCTGGACGTAGTCTTTAATAAAATGAAGGAAGACCTGTGTAGGAGTAGTGCTATATGTTGAGAGACGCAGAGGTTGCGCTAAATGCGCTAGCAAAAAGTTGGCGCGATTGTTGATGACCGTGCTGTAAAATATCTCGGTTTTGCTCTATTTTTTCTTTTTTTAGTGCAATAAAACCGTTTATCTGAAACCTTTAGATAACCTGAAGATAAGTTAACATAACTGATTTTCAAATACTCTTCGTCGTTTTGTTTGGAATTGTGAAACAGCCCAATTTTCTCAATTTAGGAAAGTCTGAAATTCCAATTTATCGTTCATATTCTTTTTTATATATAGTCACATCTTTTGAATGGATGATTGTTTTCAGGTAATCGACGTGGTGCGTAATGCAGCGTGCCGTTGTTCAAGGGTCTAAAGTAAGCTTTCCTTCTTCCTTAACGAAGTTCGCATATAATAGAAACTTCAGATGTTAAAATAATAGAAACAGAGATGTTCAATTGACTTGATAATTCTAAGAACATAAAATTTCAGCGCGGTTTGGCGGCCCTCGCCGGAGTTACTGCCGCTTCCGGTATGGGACTCGTTTACGCTTTGGAGAACTCGGTCAGCGCCAGTGGAGATAATGTACACCCATATGCGTTGCCATGGGCACACAGTGGACCATTTTCATCCTTCGATATTGCCTCGTAAGCTAAATTTTAAAAAATCTCAATCAACTGAAACCTTCAGAGTACGACGTGGTTACGAAGTCTACAAACAAGTTTGTGCTGCCTGCCACTCGATGAAGTTCTTGCATTACCGTCACTTTGTAGATACGATCATGACTGAGGTGAGATAATGTCTATGCTTATATTTCAAACTTGATATATTTCAGGAGGAAGCTAAAGCTGAAGCTGCTGATGCTCTCATCAACGACGTCGATGATAAAGGAGCTGCTATCCAACGTCCAGGAATTCTCACCGATAAGCTGCCAAATCCATATCCAAACAAGAAGGCTGCCGCTGCTGCTAACAACGGAGCTGCTCCACCAGATTTGTCTCTGATGGCTCTTGCCAGGCACGGAGGAGATGACTACGTCTTCTCATTGCTCACCGGTTATCTCGAGGCTCCAGCTGGAGTTAAGGTAAATGGACCGACAAACGTATAGTATCTTAAAATGCTGTAAATTCAGGTTGACGACGGAAAGGCCTACAATCCGTACTTCCCAGGAGGAATCATCTCTATGCCACAACAATTGTTCGATGAAGGAATTGAGTATAAGGATGGAACACCAGCCACCATGTCCCAGCAAGCTAAAGACGTTTCCGCTTTCATGCATTGGGCTGCTGAACCATTCCATGACACAAGAAAGAAATGGGCACTCAAGGTAACAAAATCCCGAAGAAGCCCTATGATGAAGTGTTGTTATTTTAGATCGCTGCCTTGATTCCATTCGTGGCTGTCGTGCTGATCTATGGAAAGAGAAATATCTGGTCGTTCACGAAATCGCAGAAGTTCTTGTTCAAGACTGTCAAGGGAAGAGAACCACCAAAGGCTCAGTAATCGACAAATTCCCAATAATTTTCCATTAACCTCTTCATTCGTCCGCACTTTTCATCTGCGAACATTTACTCGCAATTTCATCGAATATTGTGAGAATTATTAATCAATGTAAAATTAAATGAAATTGCGAGTAATTGTACGTCCACATCCATCTCTTTTAGCTCTTTTTTCCGCCTCCAACCACCCAAAAAAAGAACGCGCTCTTCCTCGAACCTATCATCGTCCAACCGTTATTTCTTCAGCGGTTGAGACGTTATTTGAGCCGTTTAGAATAATTTAGTTGTCGCCGTTGTTTGTTAATTGTGAGAATAAAATGGAGAGTTTTAGTATGATTTTTTTTCAAAATTTTTTACTTCACGAAATTCTATGTTGCCATCGAAGGGCGTCTATACTTTTTATGCTGAAAAGTATCATGTATCTTCGGCTCATCTTTTATTTCGGAAGCATTTTTAGGAAACTTCTTATCCGTTTTTTTTTCACTGTATTCATTTTCCTTTTCTTTTTTTTTCTATAAAATGAATGATGGTAACTTAGTAAAATAAAATAAATTGGTAAAATAAAATAAAACTTAGTAAAATAAAATAAATTGCACGCTCTCCCACAGAACAATTCCGAACTGCAAATTAATTTTTGATCTACAGAAAAAACGTGTGGCGCGATCACAATTGCAGGTCTAAAACCATAATTTCAGAATTTTTATATCTGATTTTGTGGAGTTCCAAGATGATTCAAATGATTCTTAAAAAATTAATTAGTGGTTATAGATTCATGTATGGTCGTTTTCCGGAAGAAAAAAATGTCAAAAATGGTCGTTTTGAAAGGTTTTTTAAGAAAAACATCTATCTCCTC